AAGGCAGCCCTCCCCAGAAACCTTTTGCAAAGGCTTTGGGAGTACATGAAGGAGAGTTTTCTGGAGATTTCCCTGGAGGATTTACGCTCCATCCCCATACACGTTAACAGACTTTTCCAGTAGCTGTACTGGCCGCGATTGCCAGGGCAAATTAATCATTAATCATTAAACACGCTTGCTTTTAAACCATGTGTAATATTTACAAAGGTACACTAACCAGAGGTCCCCTGTGTGCCCTCAGGGTCTGGGAGCACGCCTTGGGTGAGTTCGGGGGTTACTGGCTCCAGGTCCAGGGTGATAAACATATCCTGACTGTTGGGGAAACCGGTTTCTCCGCTTCCTTGCTGCGGTGAGCTATCTACATGATCTTCATCCTCATCTTCCTCGTACCCTGAACCCACTTCCCTGTGTGTTTCTCCAGTGATGGAGTCATAGCACACGGTTGGGGTAGTGGTGGCTGCACCCCCTAGCATGGCATGCAGCTCCGCGTAGAAGCGACATGTTTGCGGCTCTGCCCTGAACCTTCTGTTTGCCTCTCTGGCTTTGTGGTAGGCTTGCCTTAGCTCCTTAATTTTCACGCGGCACTGCTGTGCGTCCCTGTTATGTCCTCTGTCCTTCATGGCCTTGGAGATCTTTTCTAATATTTTGCCATTTCATTTACTGCTACAGAGTTCAGCTAGCACTGATTCATCTCCCCATATGGCGAGCAGATCCCGTACCTCCCGTTCTGTCCATGATGGAGCTCTTTTGCGATCCTGGGACTCCATCACGGTTACCTGTGCTGATGAGCTCTGCGTGGTCACCTGTGCTCTCCATGCTGGGCAAACAGAAAATGAAATTCAAATGTTCGCGGGGCATTTCCTGTCTACCTGGTCAGTGCATCTGAGTTGAGAGTGCTGTCCAGAGCGGTCACAATGAAGCACTGTGGGATAGCTCCCGGAGGCCAATAACATCAAATTCCACCCACACTACCCCAATTCCGACGCGCTAAGGCCGATTTTATCGCTAATCCCCTCGTCGGAGGTGGAGTAAAGAAACCGGTTTAAAGGGTGCTTTAAGTCGAAAGAAAGGGCTTCGTCGTGTGAACGTGTCCAGGCTTAATTCAATTTAACGCTGCTAAAGTCGACCTAAACTCGTAGTGTAGACCAGGCCTAACACAGGTGAGTCAGATTGATTCCAGCTATGTGTTTGTCCATGTTCAATTAAGACATGGGAGCTTTTGTAAGAGTGTCACAGGCAGGATGTGCAGGTATGGTGTCTCTAGCCTCTGTTTTCCAGAAGCTGGGAATGGGTGACTGGATGGATCACTTGATGGTTACCTGTTCTGTTTTTCCCTCTGAAGCACCTGGCATTGGCCACTGAGCTAGATGGACCATTGGTCTGATGCAGTGGGCAGCTCTTATGTTCACAGGCTCTATGAGGCATATCTACTCATTTGGACTCTCTGGGGAACCACAGAAAGAAACAAGGTGTGCTGAGGCAAGAAGGCCCAGTCTCAGAGCCCCTGGGGTCATGCTTGTCAAAACCTAAAACTAGTTCCAGCCCTTGAAAGGGGGCATTGCCAGGACAGACTGTATAAAGGCTGGAGCATCAAACCACTTTGTAAACCAAGACAGCTACCTTGGGGACAATGACAGGGAGAATCCCCAAAGTGACTCCTTTGATTCTTCTCTTCTCACCTTTGGTTCATAGAATCATAGAACTGGAAGGGACCTCGAGAGGTCATCTAGTCCAGTCCCCTGTATGCAAGGTAGGACTAAATATTATCTAGACCATCCCTGAGAGGTGTTTCTCCAGCCTGCTCTTAAAAATCCCCAATGATGGAGATTCCACAACCTCCCTAGGCAATTTATTCCAGTGCTTAACCACTCTGACAGGAAGTTTTTTTCCTAATCTCCATCCTAAAACGCCCTTGCTGTAATTTAAGTCCATTGCTTCTTGTCCTATCCTCAGAGGTTAAGAAGAACAATTTTTCTCTGGCATCTTTGTAACAACCTTTTATGTACTTGAAAACTGTGATCATGTCCCCTCTGAGTTTTCCCCAGACTAAACAAACCCAATTTTTTCAATCTTCCCTCCTAGGTCATGTTTTCTAGACCTTTAATCATTTTTGTTGCTCTTCTCTGGACTTTCTCCAATTTGTCCACATCTTTCCTGAAATGTGGCATCCACAACTGGACACAGTACTCTAGTTGTGGCCTAATCAGTGTGAAGTAGAGCAAAATAATTACTTCTCGTGTCTTGCTTACAGTACTCCTGCTAATATATCCCAGAATGATGTTTCTTTTTTTTTTTGCAACAGCGTTACACTGTTGACTCATATTTAGATTGTGATCCACTATGACTCCCAGATCCCTTTCCGCAGTACTCCTTCCTAGGCACTCATTTCCCATTCTGTATATGTGCAACTGATTGTTCCTTCCTAAGCGGTGTACTTCGCATTTGTCCTTATTGAATTTCATCCTATTTACTTCAGACCATTTCTCCAGTTTGTCCAGATCATTTTGAATTTTAATCCTATCCTCCAAAGCACTTGCAACCCCTCCCAGCTTGGTATCGTCCGCAAACTTTAAAAGTGTTACTGGGAGGGTATTACCATTTCTCAGAGAGTTACACCCTGGTGGGATGGGACTAGGACTGTACTGGAATAAGGTCACTCTATGCTTCACAATGTGGCAGAACCTAGAATGTCCATTAGCAGGAAAAAATCCTGGGGGGAATCAGCTTGTGGAATGTACAAAAGCCCCGTCTGAATTCTCTCACATTGCTCTTCTCATCCTGTCAGGCTACAAAATAACGTCCACGTTTTGCTCCAGATCATCCCATCCTCCCAGGGGGAAGGAAATGGCTGCAATGGAGCTGGCTCAGGTAAGAGATTATCAGAGAGCTGGTGCTGGGCTCTGCTTGGAGGGAGAGGAGCAGTAAAGGCATAGGAAGATGGTAGTTGCTACAGGTGGTGGGAGGCAGGAAATAACAGGATGTGACAAGCCCACTGAGACTTGTGTAATTTAGGGTGTGATGGGTTGTCACCCCTGGAGTGCAATCAGGGGGGCTTCTGGGAACCGCTGTCCCCTCTAACCCTCACGCTGGGCTGGCCCTTCTCACACTGCTTTGCTGGAGATTCAGCCAGCCCCTCCAGGCCCTGTTATCACCCAACACGACAGCAAGTGGGTCCATACACCCAACTAAGCTACCTAAGTGTTTTACCTAAGCCATTCAAGAACAGATAGAAGACAACAGCAGATTTCCCAGCCCCTTAACCTTGCACACCTGCTGTAGTATAAATCCAGAATTATAGCATCTTATAGTACACAGGGATCTCTATAATGTAAGCTTATTAATATATTTCACCTTCCCCTCGATATGGGACAGAGATGCACAACAAGCTTCTGCTAACCAAGCTCAGATTTTCCCCAGAGACTTCACTCAAAATACTTAACACTAGTTAAGATAAAGCATAAAACAAGTTTATTAACTGCAGAAAGACAGATTTAAGTGATTATTGTTAGAAGAAAAAAGGAGCAGGTTGGCCCAGAGGCGGATATGAGTACAGGCTTCTTTATTGCGATACTTGTTCCCCTTGACCCAATTGTCGAGTAAGCACTGGATTAGTTACATCACACTCCTTTTATCTAAGTTAGTATGTACATGCGTACATCCATTGCAACACCCCCAAAACCCTTATTAAGTAATAGAAACACCCATACTGTTAGTATACCCACCCCTATCTATTATTCGCAGGATTACGCATGTCATACAGACAGTTTTACCTTGAAAATACAGTTCTGTGCATGAATGTGTTGCTACAAATTTCCCTAATCAGCAGTTCTCAGGGGAGAGGGAAAGGGGCCATAAGCCAGGGCTTGTATATGTAGCTGGGAAAGGAAAGGAGGGGGAGATAACATTTCTTTTACTTTCTTTCACACAAAGTACATTCATTCCGACAACTACATTTCTCATGCAGCTGCATCCTTATCAATTCTTACAAGCAACAGGGAAAGGAAAAGTATGGCAACTTATTTATTAAGCAAAGAATTACTGCCTGCTTATTCCTTTTTCCCCTAACGCCATGTCAGCACATTAGCAGCTTCCCAGGTCTTTTACTTAACCCTAACATATCCCAACAATTATAAATTATAGCACACAGATCAAGGTAGATTACTTAGCAAATAACCAAAAACTCAAAGTAAGCCTAACATACTAGATGGATAGAATTTGAATTAGCAATTTCTCGCCCTGACTGAAGATACAAGCCGTCCACCAAGTTTCCATACACAAGCCAGAAATCCCTTTACCCTGGGACCAGCACTTTCCACAGTTCAGTCTTTGTTCCTCATGTTTCCAGGAGTTCTCTTGTGTGGGGAATGAGGCCAAGAGATGATGTCACACCCCACCTTATGTAGCTTTTCCATATGGGGGGAACCCCTTGTTCCAAACTCAATTCCCAGTCCAGTTTGTGGAAAAATACAGGTACCAAAATGGAGTTCAGTGTTATGTGGTCTGGTCACATGACCTAACATGCACTGCTGAGTCATAGTAGCCCTGATTCATAGGCTGGCTGAATCATTCACAGGAAGGCTAAGCTCTTCCATGGTCCATTGTCTTTGTTGATGAGCCATCAGCACTGTCTGGCTTCTTTATTGTTGTACCTGAAAGGCTCGTTGTGGGTGTTACCCAGAGTAAACACATTTGAAATACAGATACATAAGTCAGTATTCATAATTTCAGATACAAACATGATCTATGCACACAAATAGGATAATCCTATTCAGCAAATCATAACTTTTCCAATGACACCGCACATGATGCATCTTGCACAGAATGCATCATAATTATGACCTAATCCTATTATAATCATACCACTATACTGAATATGAGGTGTAGTGTCAGATAGGGCCTAATTTCAAGGCACAGGAGTTGGGAATGGAACTTCCCCTCTTTGTGGAACAGGAAATAGCCCTCCAACACGGGCTGGGAAAACTTCCCAGACTCTCAGTGCTGGAGCCTAAATCTATTGACACTTCATTAGTTACCACCACTCCCAATCTTTGTGGCAACTGCAAACTTTATCAGTGATGATTTTATCTTCTCTTCTAGGTCATTGATAAGAATGTTAAATACCACAGGGCCAAGATCCAATCCTTGTGGGAACCCGCTAGAAATAAATCCACTCGACCATGGTTCCCCAGTTACAATCACAGTTTTTAATCTATTCAATGTATGCTGTGTTTATTTTGTATCATTCTAGTTTTTTAGTAAAAATATTGTGCTGAACCAAGTCATATGCCTTACAGAAGTCTAGGTATATTACATCAATAATATTAGCTGCAACCAAACTTGTGATCTCATCCAATAAGGATATCCAGTTAGTTTGATAGGATCTATTTTCTGTAAACCTTTGTTGATGGGTATTAATTATATTACCCTCCTTTAATTCTTTATTAATAAATCCAGTATCGGCTGCTCCATTATCTTGTCCAGTATCTATGTCAGACTGACACTCTTGTATTTAGCTGGGTCATCTCTTTTACACTTTTAAAATATTGGCACAGCATTAGCTTTATTCCAGTCTTCTGGAATTTCCCCAGTTTTCCAAGTTTTAATTAAAATCAACATTAACAGTCCACCACGCTTCTCCACCAGGTCTTTTAAACCTCTTGGATACAAGTTATCTGGACCTGCTGATTTAAACATGTCTAACTTTAATAGCTGCTGTTTAACGTCCTTGTGAGTTCTTGTTGGAATGAAAAGAGTGTCGTCGTCAACATCTTATGATATGAGTATAACATCTGTTTTTCTCCAAATCCAGGAAAGAAATATTTATTGAACACTTTTACCTCTTCTGCATTATTTTTTATAATTCTGCCATTTCCATCTAGTAATTTACTACTACCATTGTTAGGATTAATTTTGTACTTAATATACTTTTAAAAACTTCCTTCTTATTGTCATTGATTGATCATTGATTTCTGATAGCCAGTTTTCTACAATTCTGACCTTCTCACTTATATTCTTTCCTATGGACTTCCCCTTTCTTCCATATATTTTATTTGGAGTGTGTTGGGATTCCTACCAGGGAGCCATCAGCAGGGTCCAGAGACAGCCCCATCTCCTATATCAGGGGTCTCAAACTCAAATGACCATGAGGGCCACATGAGGACTAGTACATTGGCCCGAGGGCCGCATTACTGACACCTCCCCCCCTTGCCGCCCTCAGCCCCGCCCCTACTCCACCCCTTCCATGAGGCCCCACCCTGCCCCGCCTCTTCCCACCTCTTCCCTGCCCCCATTCCAACACCTTCCCCCAAATCCCCACCCCCTCCCTGCCCCCAGGGGGTGCAGGAGGGGTGAGGGGTACAGCAAGGGTGCAGGGTGCAGCAGGGGGATCAGGGCAGTGGGTTGGGGTGCAAGAGGAGTGTGGGGTGCAGCAGGGGGCTCAGGGCAGTGGGTTGGGGTGCAAGAGGAGTGCGGGGTGCAGCGGGGGTTCAGGGCAGGGGGTCAGGGTGCAGGGTATGGCGGGGGTCAGGGTGCGGCATGGGGCTCAGGGCAGTGGGTTGGGATGCAGGAGGGGTGAGGCAGGGGGTCGGGGTGCAGGGGGCTCAGGGCAGGGGTTCAGCTGCAGGAGGGGTTCGGGGGCCAGGATCTGGCCCGGCGCATACCGGGGGCAGGGCAGGGCAGGCTCCCTGCCTGCCTGCCTGTCTGCCCTGCCCCTGCAAGAGGCTGGAACGTGGGGAAGGGGGGGCGGAGGGGCTGTGTGTTTCTGTTGCTTGAGGCACCGCCGCCAGCAGCTCCCATTGGCCGCAGTTCCCCGTTCCCAGCCAATGGGAGTTGCTGGGGGCGCTGCCTGAAGCAACAGCCACACACAGCCCCTCCGCCCCCCATTCCCCATGTTCCAGCCTCTTCCTGGAGCTGGGCAGGGCAGGGCAGGCAGGGAGCCTGCCCTGCTCCCGGTGCACATCTGGCCAGAGCCGCTCTGGTAAACACTGAGGGAGGGCGGGGGGCGCTGCGAGGGGTTCGCGGGCCATGCGTTCTGCGTGTTTGAGACCCCTGTCCTATATCAAGCTCTGGCTAGTAGGTATGTGAAGACCCTGCCTCCGTCTGTCAGCTGGGAGACACAAATGTTTTCTCTTTCTATCCTCTGATGCCTCCTGACTGCTCTAAGCAAGGTGGGGTGGGACTCTGCTAAAATGTGCCTCGTGGAGCTTCCATTTACCTCGTGCTGCTGTTCCGTGAGTAGTGGGGTTGTGAGTGGGGAAGCAGGTACTGAGTGTTGGACTCTTGCTCTTTCAGGGGCCGGTGACTTTCGAGGAGGTGGCTGTGTATTTCACCAGGGAAGAGGGGGCTCTGCTTGACTGCACTCAGAGAGCCCTCTACAGGGATGTCATGCAGGAGAACTATGAGACGGTGGTCTTTCTGGGTAAGGAGTCCTGTCCCCTCTGTTATTAGAAGCTGTCAGGTCTCTAAAGAACCTGAGTAGTAATAACTTTATACCTTCATTCATCATAGAAGTTTTGACAAGTTTCCTTGCCCTCCTTTTTTTTCCTTATCTCCCACCCACTAGAATAATTTTTGGACATGTGCCTTTTTGGTGCCATCAGTCATTTTAAAATTGCATGTAATGTATCCTTATTGGATACATTAATAACTGCATTAATAACTATAGCTTTCATGCCATTTCCTCATTTTAAGAGGAAAATATGCCACCTGTAGAATTCTAAATTGAGTAAATAGGTCGATGACTGATGCATGGCTTGTGTGACAGTCAGATGAGCTCATCTTTTGATAGGAGAGCACATAATATTGCCATTCAGGACCCTCCGGGTGAAGGGAGAACAGAGCCGTGCAAGGGGAGAAGAAGCGGGGGGAGTAGATAATTCTGGGGTGCCAGGAAATGGTGAGTGTGTGTGCAGGATGAGAGCTAAGAAGCAGCAGGGATGGAGGGGGTAGTGAGAGACGAGAAGGGAACACAAGAAGCTCCCAAGGTGCTGGGAGGTGGTGACGGCTGAGAGCAATGGGAAGAAGGGGAGGGGAGTGTGGAGGAAGGGCACCCAGGAAGTGGGCTGGGTGGGTCAGTGGAATGGAGGAGAAGTTTTGGGATCTACAGTTGTGGGGGATCTGAGACATTTAACCCTGAATCCCTACCCAAGTCTTATTGCTTTAGAGCCTACGCTCCAGTTTTATTTCTGTTGTTTCACTTCTTTTTACGTTTCCCCCCCAAATATTATTATTTTAACTCTTGACCTCCCTCTCTCGCTCATTACCCCGCTACCCCATATAACCTCCCCATCTCTATGCACAGCAACCCTGCCACGGATCCTGAGTCCTTGCTGCATTCCTCCCGCCCATCGCAGGGCCACTACCTAGGCACAAATGGGCACTTTTTACACCTCTAAGATTACATATTGGGGTACAATTTGCCCTTGTACATTGCTATTCAAAGTTAATTGAGAAGATGGAATTTGGTGAAACTTGATTTAATACAGACAGTTATAATTGAAATCATAGGTAAGGATCAATACACATAACGATTAGATAAGATAAGTATAGTAAAGAGGATCTTGCCTTATACATATTTACAAGTTATGGACACCATTGGAAACAAAGATCGAGGGGCAAGGGAGACCATCAGAATGGAGGCCCTGCTTCACTTTACTTGGGGACCTGACAAAATGAAAAAATGGTAACTAGGAGAGGTATTTTATCCGCTTCCTTATGGTAATAGGATGACTATATACCATATCTGCTCCTTTATTCTGATTAAAATAATGTCAACAGCTGCCCCAAACCATAAGTGGCCTTTGGGAAGTCCATAATTAATCATCAAGCATTAATACTCATGATTTACATCACTTATTTATTAATTCCAATATATGAATACGTCCAACTGCTGAGATACTGCATAGCAACCTAATTGCTAAAGCCCGCCCCAAACTTACTTCCTTTCAGAATCCTATGGCGTATTGCACCTGTTTGTGGTTCCTTGTTAGTCTCTCGAAATCAGGGTGCAAAATATCTGACCTGGGATTCTCTTCTTAGTCCTATTCAGGTAAATCCCAGACTTCAGCGTAACTACTCCCACAAAGTCTCCACCTAATATAAGGCCCTTAACTGTAGCAAGCTTAATAACCCATTTACTTATGTTCACCTCCTTGCCCCTGCATGCACATTCCAAGCTAATAAGCAATATTCTGATAATGACATTTTACCTCTAGCAAGTATAAAATTGCCACAAGACATGTGACTAGGTCATAGATCATAAAATCAGGTCGGGGTCAACAGGAGTGAGAGTTTGGAGAGAGTCTTGGCCCCACTCTCCCCATCGGCAGCAGCCACAAGCTGTCTTCCCTCCAGGCTCCTTGGATCTTTGAGCCTGTCCCTCCTGAGGTTGCATGGCCCAATTCTTGTTTCTTACCTTCTCCTTTTCCGGAAGAATTAGAGGCTGTTGTTCCTGAATTTTAGTGTTTAATTCCCCAGCCTTCTCCACACACTGGGGGAGTTTAATTCTGCCTCCCATTACACCTAAGTCACTAGATTTCCTGATTCCCCAAAATGTGCTTTTGCAATGTCACAGTTCTAGGGTAGCTAAGCCTTTTACCTGCCTCCATGGGCTGCTCAAGGAATGCCCTCTAGCCAGCCCCTCTCTATGGGTAGGGACCCACATGCCTCTCCTTTTCGACCAGGGTTTGAGGATTGCAGCTTGTCCTCCACTGTGTTCACTGGACTAACATCCAGTTGCTGTGCTTTGCTTTCTCTCCAAGGGCAGTGAGCAGTGTGTGTGTGATAGAGGTGGGAATTTTCGTGATATTTCTATGATGCCAATATGCGTCTCGGTTTCCTTCTGTGATTGGTATTGCTATGATTATAAAGAGCAGGAGACTTGAGGTGTTTTGTCACGTAGCTGTTATGGGGTGATATGAATGTGTCATTAAGGACAGGCTGGGACCAACCTACATCAATGGAATACCCGACAGAGACAAGGGAATAATTCTCACTTGTCCATGGGAGGATCTCAGCTTTGCTGAGTGAAGCATACATGGACTCGTTATGTTTCTGGGAGCAGGAAGAACTGGGTTTGCTGATGCAGGGAGCTCTACTGGAGCGAAGACAAATGGACAGGCAAACTGAAAGGAAACCAAACTGTTTATAACAGCAGCATGGCTCAAGAGCATTGGCCAATATGGACTATATTATCTTATTTGCTTCTCTGTCCTAATCTAAATACTTTCTAATGCTGTGTTTCAGTTGACTAATAAACCCTGCTCTATTTTAACAGTCTGCCCAGTGTCACAGCAAAAACTTGCTGAGGAGCACTGAAGCATGAATGAGGAACAGTCTCTGAACAGGAGTGTAGTTCAGCTGGACCTGCTGGCAGAGCTCACAGGTTGAAATAGGAGTGTTGAAACCAGAGGCTCAGTCTCAGGTGCTGAAGCTACATGGCCTATCCTTGTGGAAGAGTGGAACCCCCTGGGGGTCTAGCGCACTCAAGGGGCACCTCCCAAGGACTGTTTAAGAGCCAGGGCATTGCACAGATGCCATGCATCCATGACAGTGTGCCAGAAGTTAAGTCTTATGGGAAAAAGATATAAAACAAGAAAAGGATCTAAATGTGTATTTACCATTGCACCCTCATCAGTCCTCGTGGGAATCCCTCATCAGTTACAAAGTGTATTAAAACCTTCCTCTAAGGCTTACCTCTTGGTTATCAGGTCATGTCAGTTTTGTTAGAGGGCTTTCCCTTCACCCTCCCACTTCACTGGTTCTTGTCACGCAGACAGCAAGCAGCAAAAGACCACAAGTTCGAAGGGCAGATAATGCGATGTTTATTGGGGTTAGTTTCCAAGCAAGCATATTCCAAAGTCCGTTACACCAGTCGGGCTTATCGCTATATTCCCAGAGAGTCTGTTCCCCAGTGTTCCCTTCCCAGCTCTGATGCCGCAGAGCCTTGCCTGTGTCCCTGTTCCCATTCCCCCCATTAATAAACCTGATTCCAATTTCCCTTCCCCCTCCTGTTTGACCCCAGTTTATATAGTCATATTCTCAGCTATACCTTAAACAATCATTTTACTGAAATTTAACTAACCAGTCCTAACATATTGTAACATAATTCTCTAACCAATTATATCCTACTACCCTAATTAACTTACACCTAGCAAAACTAATTATACAGCAGACAGAAACAATTAGAGAACCAGACAGATTAACAATAGAAAAGTGGTGGCCATAAAGATAAAACAATACAGAAATGAGGGTACCACAACCGTCGTTGAGTGATTTCATGCCAGACAGGATTGTATCGAACTAAATTTTCTTTAACCATCTTAAGATCTGTTTCTTTATCTGGTGGTGATGGGCACTATCAGGACAGGATCATCTGCCTAACAGCCCCATAGCCCCTTATGTCAGTGTGACTGGTTTGGGATGTGAGGATGTGATCCTATGCTTCTCAGCTTTTGGCTGCCCCTGCTGCTTAGCCAAAGGCCTTAGTCTGAGGCCTTGTTCTTAGGCTATCCCAGTGAGAGAAGGCCCATATACAAGCGGACTGAGATTTTGATTCTTTGTTTTTATACCCTTGTAACTAGTTAAGTGATAAAAATGCACCTAAGTTCTTAAATAATAGGGTTTACAGGGAGGCCTGAATATCTATATTCTCACAGTGGGTTCTACCCCTTCCCCCATTCTGTGTTTGTCTTGTCTATTTAGATTGTAAATTCTTCAGGGCCTGGGCCATCTACTGTTCTGTGTTTGTACTTTGCCTAGCACAATGGGGACCCACTGTTGGTCCTTAGGCACTAAGGTAATGAATATGATTTATAATAATAACAACTCTCCTGCCACTTTGAGCCAAGGAAGCTGGCCTTGGGATGTTACTGCTTAAAAATGAGCTGGGGTTAAAACCATGGAATGTTCTTTGTGACAAGTATCCCACAAATTCCACTGACCTCCCTTGTTTTCTTTGCCTTGAGCAGGGTTTCCAGTTTCCAAACCTGATGTGATCTTGCAGCTGGAACGAGGGGAAGAGCCATGGGTTCCAGACCTCTACGGCTCTGAGAAAAAAGTGCTCCCTAGAGCTGCCTTCACAGGTTAGGAATTGGTTAAACCAACTCAAAAACTGTCCATGAATACAGGAAACATTTGGGATGCCCTACAAAGACTTTGTGAGCTCTCCAAGTTTAAGATTGTTTCCTGCAGATGTGGAATCATTAGGCAGATGTCACTCATGGCTTCCCACCTATCCTGACTGACAACTGGCAGCAGATCCCTCCCTGATCCCACTTTCCCCTGCGTGTTCTGGTGAGATGCGGACCAAAACTGATCCCTTCCTCTCTCCTCTGGGGAAGGGTTTGGGGAAAATCAGCTCCTGATAGGTTTGATCTCTCCCGCACATATTTTGGTTTGTTCATCCCTTTTTCCATTCCTGTCTCTGAGATTTCCTTTCTGTCAGGCACAGGCAGTGACCTATGTCTGGATTCTCTCTGTCTCCCATCAGGTGTTGGGATGGTGAATGAGAATGAGGAGAATCCCCAGCAGGACGATGCTGAGAAAGTAGAACCACATGGAACATTATCAGGAAGATCCAACGTGAATGTTTCCAGGAGTTGTGCACTCCCAGAAAAAGCAAAAGCCTGTGAGACTCAGCAGAGGCCAGAGGAAAACCTAAGTAGCCTCTCAGACCTTATTACACACGAGAGAATCAACTTGGAAGATACACGCTACATATGCCGTGAGTGTGGGGAAAGCTTCAATGGGAGCTCAGAGCTTTTCACACATCAGGGAATCCACAGAGGAGAGAGACCCTACATGTGCTCGGAGTGTGGAAAATGCTTCAATCGGAGCTCACACCTTATCTCACATCAGACAATCCATACGGGTGAGAAACCTTATGGATGCTCTGAGTGCGGGAAACGCTTCAGTCGGAGCTCATACCTTAACACACATAGGAGAATCCACACGGGTGAGAAACCTTACGGATGCTGTGAGTGTGGGAAAGGCTTCAGTTGGAGCTATGCCCTTATCGCGCATCAGAGAATCCACACAGGAGAGACGCCCTACACATGCTCTGAGTGTGGGAAAAGCTTTAATCGGCACTCACAGCTTATCACACATCGGAGAATCCACACAGGAGAGAAACCCTACACGTGCTCTGAGTGCGGGAAATGCTTCAGTCGGACGTCAGCCCTTATCACACATCGGAGAATCCACACAGGAGAGATGCCCTACACATGCTCTGAATGTGGGAAAAGCTTCAATCATAGCTCAAACCTTATCTCACATCGTAGAAGCCACACGGGAGAGATGCCCTACACATGCTCTGAGTGCGGGAAAAGCTTCAAACAGAGCTCTAGCCTGAGCAGACATCGTAGAATCCACAGTGGAGAGAGACCCTACACGTGCTCTGCATGTGGGAAAAGCTTCAATCAGAGGTCATTCCCTATTAGACATCAGAAAATCCAAATGGGAGAGAACTGTGAGAAATGCCTTGATTAGGGCTGGCCAAAGATTTCTTTAAAAAAAAAAATCACATTTGCTAATTCCAATATAGTGATCTTTGCACCATCTTCACCAGAGTCTCTCAGCTTCCCCAGATGAGTTCCCTGCTTCTGCAGCTCACCCTGCTTTAGGGTCAGTCCTGTGATCTTTTCTATCAATTCCTTTCCTTTTGAGTCGTAGGTGTGTGTAAAAAGAACAGGAGTACTTGTGGCACCTTAGAGACTAACAAATTTATTAGCGCATAAGCTTTCGTGGACTACAGCCCACTTCTTCGGATGCATATAGAGTGTCCCTCCAGCCAGGAATGTTCATCAGCTCCAGGTGGGGGAGAGAGATTTGATCCCAACAAGCTACACTGAGGCAAAAACTACCTGGGCCTTACATCCACTAGGACTGTACATGACGTTGGCTGCTCAAGTTAGTGATCTTGGTGTAAAAAGACAATTATAGTTGTAGTGCAGATGCAGCCCGGTTGCAGTGGTTGGCATTAGCTTTCCCCTTGACCTAACCTAAACTCCATCACTTTTCTTAGTCTAAACAAACCCTGAGCATCACGGTTATACTGTTCCCCCATTTCAAAGCAATTGTTAGTCATTAAGTTTCCCCTTCGGGAACAAATTATTTCATTCCCAGTTGCTTTGATGTTGCTTCAAGTTTTGCTGGAGAGCAGATATTTTTATTACCATTTTCCTCACTTAAAATATATTGAACTATAACAACGAGCAGGAACATGGCAGGGATAGGGAAAAATGTCATTTCACCCTCTGTAACAACAGAAGAAGTTAGGGTAAGTCAGAGAGATTCCCTTATTCCTCATCACCATCTCAACCCCCCTGTTGTTCAGTTGGTTAGGTCAATATTTTTCCTAAAGGGTTGGGAAGAGGGTTTCTTAGTAAATGACATGTAAGTAGGCAAAATACCCATACATTTGGCTCCCAAAGCAGTTGTGGCCCAGGCCCTGCATGAGGTCTCTCCTTAAGATATCTCCTTCCTAATCAGGTGCATGTTGCCTATTATTTGGGAAATGCAATCCCTTTCTAGGTAGAGATGAGAAAAATGGAAGTGATGTTTCTGTTGAGATCACCCCTGGGAGATGCTGCAAATGTGTAGAAAATGGAATCTGTGTTGAATGTGATATAGCTGCAGAAAGATACCTGTTTTTAATAGATGCCTGACATTTGTTGTCTTATAGGGATTCTAAACTGCACCTGAATTTAGTCCCTAATTTAAATCTGTGCCACCAGATTAAAGAAATAAAAGGGCATATTTGGGGGCGTTATACCTCACTATCGCTACTGATACGTTGTGTGGTTGGTGAAGAATTCTACGCCAGAGACTTGGAGTAATTTTATACTTAAGGTCAAAGATTTGATAGGGACTCGGGTAGAAATTGCAGGTACTAGTGGTTGATTTTCACCCCAGATATGGAAGCTATGGTGATCTGTGGCCCAGGTAAACTATTTTTAGAACGCTGCTCCCTAGTTAAGTGGCATTGATCAGACTCCTAAAAGATGCCATTATTAAATTGGGAACAACTGTCTTTTACCATTTGGATCCAAAGTTAGATGAAGCACAGAGAGAAACAGCTGATTCCTTCAGAGCCATTCCATGCCTACATCCTCCCCCTCTCTCCAGGAAAGCAATGGCAGACAACTGTTTCACGCCTTTTTCCTGGGTGAACAGTGCAGACGCCATACCACAGCAAGCATGGAGCCCGCTCAGCTCAAGACAGCAGTCATGAACATTGTAAACACCTTGCACATTATCGTGCAGTTTATGCGGAACCAGAACCTGCAAAACCAGGAGTAGGCTACGGCAGCGGGGTGGCGAGAGTGATGAGGACATGGACATGGAATTCTATCAAACCCGTGGGCCCCGGCGCTTTGGCGATCATGCTGTTAATGGGGCAGGTTATAGCCGTGTAACGCTGATTCTGGGCCCGGGAAACAAGCACAGACTGGTGGGACCGCATAGTGTTGCAGGTATGGGACGATTCCCAGTGGCTGCGAAACTTTTGCATGCGTAAGGGCATTTTCATGGAACTTCGTGACTTGCTTTCCCCTGCCCTGAAGCGCCAGAATACCAAGATGAGAGCAGCCCTCACAGTTGAGAAGCGTGTGGCGATAGCCCTGTGGAAGCTTGCAACGCCAGACAGCTACCGGTCAGTCGGGAATCAATTTGGAGTGGGCAAATCTACTGTGGGGGCTGTTGTGATGCAAGTAGCCAAAGCAATCACTGAGCTGCTGCTACAAAAGATAGTGACTCTGGGAAATGTGCAGGTCATAGTGGATGGCTTTGCTGCAATGGGATTCCCTAACTGTGGTGGGACGATAGATGGAATCCATATCCCTATCTTGGCACCGGAGCACCAGGGTACCCAGTACATAAACCGCAAAGGTACTTTTCAGTGGTGCTGCAAGCACTGGTGGATCACAAGGGACGTTTCTCCAACATCAACACGGGCTGGCCAGGAAGGGTTCATGACGCTCGCGTCTTCAGGAACACTACTCTGTTTAAACAGCTGCAGCAAGGGACTTACTTCCCAGACCAGAAAATAATTGTTGGGGATGTTGAAATGCCTATAGTCATCCTTGGGGACCCAGCCTACCCCTTAATGCCATGGCTCATGAAGGCAAGCCTGGACAGGAGTCAGGAGCTGTTCAACTACAGGCTGAGCAAGTGCCGAATGGTGGTGGAATGTGCATTTGGACATTTAAAAGGTTGCTGGTGCACGTTACTGACTCAGTCAGACTTCAGCCAAACCAATATCCCCATTGTTATTGCTGCTTGCTGTGTGCTCCACAATCTCTGTGAGAGTAAGGGGGAGACCTTTATGGAGTGGTGGGAGGCTGAGGCAAATCGCCTGACTGCTGATTATGGGCAGCCAGACACCAGGGCAATTAGAAGATCACACCAGGAAGCGCTGTGCATCAGAGAAGCTTTGAAAACCAGTTTCATGACTGGCCAGGCTACAGTGTGAAAGTTCTGTTTGTTGAAAACCAGCTCCCTTGATTGACTCATTCCCTGTAAGCAACCCACCCTCCCCCCTTCGATCACTGCTTGCTTTCAAAGGAAATAAAGTCACTATCATTTAAAAATCATATATTCTTTATTAATTGATTATAAACATAGGGAGAGAACTGACAAGGTAGCCCGGGTGAGGTTTGGGAGGAGGATAGGAGGGAAGGAAAAGGCCACTAAAAAAATTCAATATAATGACAGCCTTTTGCTTGGGCTGTCCACTGGGGTGGAGTGGGAGGTTGCACTGAGCCTCCCCCCCTCCTGCTGCGTTCTTACACATCTGGGTGAGGAGGCTATGGAACATGGTGAGGGGGGAGGGAGGTTATACAGTGGCTGCAGCGACACTCTGTTATCCTGCTGCTGTTCCTGAAGCTCCACCAGACGCTGGAGCATGTCCATTTGATCACGCAGCAGCCTGCCACCTCTCATCTTGAGCATCCCTCATGACCTCACGTTCACTGGCATCTTTCCTGTACTTTGATACCATGTCCTTCCACTCATTCAAATGAGCTCTTTCATTGTGGGTGGATTCCATGATTTCCGAGAACATCTCATCACGCGTCCTCTTTTTCCGCCGCCTTATCTGAGATAGCCTTCAGGACAGTGGAGGGAGGCTTGAAAAATTTGCAGCTGCTGGAGGGAGGGGAAAAAAGGAGAGAAGTTTTTAAAAAGATACATTTTACAGAACAATGCTTATACTCTTTCACGGTGAACAACACTATTTACATTACATAGCACATGTGATTTCAGTGCAAGGTCGCATTTTACATCTTAATATTGACTGCCTGTGGCTTTGGTGTTAGAGATCACAGACATAGGTCTGGGCAACAGAATTCGGCTTGCATGCGGACATGGTAAGCCATTGTCTTTTGGCTTCTGCTCCCTCCTTTCCCACATACCAAGCTAAGCCCATTGAGTGCTGCGGTTTTCCTGCTAACCTTCAGCAGCAGAAAACAAACTAACCCCCCCCCATCCAATTCTCTGGGATGATCGCTTTATCCCTCTCCCCACCACATGGCTGGTATCAGGGAAGATCCCTGCTAGCCAAATGCGAAAAGCTCAGCGCCAATTACCCCTCCGCCCCCCACCCTTGGATAACTACAGGGAAGGATTTCTTTTCAGCCACAGACAAACAGCCCAATAGGAAGGGCCACCTCTGTCCCCTTAATTAAATTCCCATATTTCAACCAGGTTACCATGAGCAATATCACTCTCCTGAGGATTACACAGTGAGATAAAGAACGGATGTTGCTTGAATGCCAGCAAACACATACGCTGCCAGGCTTTGTCATGCAATGATACCAGATTACTTGCTACTAGCATGGCATGGTCAAGTGTCCTACCATGGAGGACGGAATAAGGCTGCACTGCCCAGAAACCTTGTGGGCAGTGCAGCCTGAGCTCACTGATATGGAGATGTCCCTGGAGGATTTCCGCTCCATCCCCAGACACATTAACAGACTTTTCCAGTAGCTGTACTGGCCACGAATGCATCCCAAGTCCTCAGGGCAAAGTAATCATTAAAAAATGCTTTCAAATCATGTTTTATATTTTAAAAGGTAAACTCACCTGAGGCCCTTTCCATGGGGTCATGGTCTGGGATACTGCCTTGGGAGGGTACTTCAGTCAGGCTGAGAAAAAGATCCTGGCTGTTGAGGAGAACGGAGTGCTGTGTGCTCTCCGCAAGCTCGTCCTCCTTCTCCTCTTCCCCATCCGCAGAATCCTCAGGTGTGGCTGAGATTACACCCACCTCGGAATCCACGGTCAGAGGTGGGGTAGTGGTGGCGGCCCCCCCTAGAATTGCATGCAGCTC